TATTTAACTGATACGTGTTTTCAAAAAACTCCAAAAGGCATTTACTTGTGTTTTGATGACTTTTGCAACCGTCCTGCTAAAGTATTCGCTCAAATAGAGCAATTGATATTAGGTTTTCACTGTTTCTCCGCATCATCAACTTTGGAGTCGAAATAAAGTTCATAAGCTTTTTTTAATAAAGGGGTCATCGTTTTCCTGTGGTCAACATCGGTAAAAAAAAAACAACCACAAATAGAGCAAAACAACTTCGTAATTAGCTTAATACAACTACGTAACTACCTCAACACAACTACGGGATTGAAAAAAAAAGTTGTTCAAACTCTTTAAGAATTTCTTGTATAGCATTTGAAACCCAATCCAATTATAACTTAGTGGTTTTGTTTACTGCCAGGGTAAAATCAATAATCTCAATAAAAGAAACACTTAAAACGTAAACTCAAAACACTGTTCTCTCCATTAACACAGTGGTGTAATAATTCAAAGATACCTTCCAGTTTTTTAAACATTGTAAAAAGAGAAATTTGTTTGTTAGTTTGTCCAAAAAAAATTTATCACACGCTTTTTAAAAAACATAAATACGTGAAAAGACTTGCGTAAATTTTAAGTCCTAAATTTACAAATATGTTTATGATAAAAATTTTACAAATAAGCTTACCAGCACTCTGCATATCACCATGACGTTTTTTCTTATTTTTTGTTTATTCCTATTTTCACGATATTATTATTTTCAACTATACTTCTTAAAAATAGGAAAATAAAAGTTTATTATGTTAGCTATGTTTATGATTTAATCACGTTGCACTATTAAAAAAAAAAGATTGGTATTTCTACAAAACAAATTTTTGTTTTTTTAAAACCCTGAAAGCAATCTTGTTGCTATTGGTTGTCCTTTACACATTTAAGTAATTGCATAGTTTATTTTATGAAACTTCAATTAAATTTGTTCTATTGGCTAATAAAATATTCATAAAATCATGAAATAAAAATATGAATTAGTGAAAATTATGAAAAGTGATTATTTATTTATAAGTGAAAATGTATTTATATGAACATTAAAATTAGTAACTATTTATAAGAATAAAAATATGTTTTGAAAAATATGCCTAAACATTTTTTTTTTTACTTCAAAATTTCTTTGTTTTTTTACTTATTTTTTTATTTACATAGTTTTAGGTTTACGTATTAACATCAATGTATATTAAAGAATAAACAATGTTTTCATTATCTTAAGACATAATTTAAATGCGTCATAAAAAAAGGTGGTCACAAAATGCAAATTAATTTGCGCTTTTCGTCACAAGGAAAACCTTTAGGGGCATGGTTGTATACAAATAGACTGTCACATTGGTATGATTTCAAAATCAAACTATTTTGCCCGTGGGTGAAAAACTGATTTTCATTTTTTAATGGAAATCAATATTTTCTAATTTAATTTTTTCTAATTTGGAGTTTAAAACTTGTTTTTAAATACTGCATTGTGCTTTTATTGAAATATATTGAAAGTATTGTTTTATGATGATAAAGTATTAGGTATTCAAAAAATATTTGTGAACAATTATTTAAAAGCAGATTTTTCTTGCATATTTTGCTGTCTTTCAATTTTTCAAAAATTTTCATATTTTCAGATTTGTTTTCATCATTACAGTGAACATTGTAAATTCAAGTCAACTCGAACACCGAATGACCTTTTATACATTAATACACAAATTTTTTACTTTTTAATTCACAGATTGTCAAACTTTCTTTTTTTGTGGTCACACTTTCTTTGACTGTGTCCTCTAGATATAAAAAGTTTTAGGCCAGAGCCAAAGTAAAAAGACGCAGAATTTAAGTAATGTAAAACGAGTGTTTAACAATTCTCGATTGAAGTTCCTTTGTATATATTATTAACACTGTTCAGGAATGCGGAGTCTCAAAAAGGACTACGGACTTGAAAGTCACAAAAAAATTACTTCATCCTAGTTTTTGGTATATAGAAGCTCTAAAAATATAAATAAGTTTATGGACTATTAATAAGAAAAAAATTAGAACTTTTAGGTTAGAGGAACAATCATTTTTGAACCCGGAGTCCTTAGGTATAATGGCGGCAAGGACTCCGGGATTCCAGGACTCCGGGCTTAAAAACAATAACTTCCAAGTCATTAAACCTCATGAATTTTTTTCTTACAGCAGATCATAAGTCAACAAACATGTTTAGAGATTCTAAACACTTTAGACTTGGAAAAAGTAGAGATATATAGCTGGAGTACTTTTGGGACTCCGCATCCCTGATACTGTTATAGATAGTATACAATAATATGTTAACAACGTAATTTAAATCAATGAAATGTTTTTGTTTCTAGTTTTTAAGAATTACTTTAGTAGTTTTACAAAGGAAGAAATCAATAGTAACTATAGTAACTAATTATTTACTTAGTGACCTGTCAAACAAATACTTAGTGACCTTACTAAACAAGTATATTTTTCATCTTACAGAACTGGGCCAACAACAATGAGCCCCCTCCCCCCAACTTTTTTATTAACACTTTTTCTATTTATTTTTTTTATTTTCTAGAAAATTCTAGATATAGAGGACTTTTTTTAAAAAATGACTATTGTGCCCCTCCACTTCAAAACCCGTGTTTTTCGCCATACAGAACGACTATATAATTTTTAATTATGTGAATAGTAAAACAAGTGTATTAATTGTTCATTTATGATACATAAGTGTTACATAGGCTTTAAGCAAGGTTAGGGTAGTTACATTTTAATAATACTTAAGTAAAAATTAAAAATACTGACTCTAAAAGTAATAGAATAAAAGTAAAAAGTACCTCTAAACCAAAATACTTATATAAAAGTAAAAAGTACTTTTTTGCGTCGCAAAAGCAAATTCATTCAATATTAGGAACATGTTTGGAATCATCTTGGATAAAACTTAACATTTATTTAATTTGTTAAGGTAAATATGTTTGTTACAACATATTTAGCAGGTTTACCACAGTTTTTCATTAATGCGCAATAGCAGCTGCTGTTCAAAATGTTTATCTGTCATTCTAGTGCAGTTTGAGGTGAATACTTGCCCTGCTACACTAAATAAATTTTCACAGGCTGCACTTGTTGGCAAAGCAGTGTTCAGTTCAAAAAAGACATTCTTTAACGGTGGAGATTTATGAAGGCCACCAAGTGAGTTGTGGCTACCAATTTAAGTTGAAATAATTTTATCAGCAAGAGTAGAAGTGTCATCTAATTATCTAAATTTAAAGATCTTCAATTTCAGACTTGGCTGTTTTCTATGCTTTTACTTGTACTGTCACTGTTTTTAGCCGTTAAATCTTGTTCTCCATGAATTCCAGATCAATTTTTTTTGCTCGTTGTTTTTGTACCAAACTGTATTAAATTGTTGGCAGGCAATTGCTGCCACTATTAATTCTTTATTCATAATGTACTAATAGAATATGATATTTATGACAGGATCCATGCTTAGAACAATTGACTTACAACACTGGATTAACCTGTTGCAAAGATGGATCTGTATTTTCTTTTTTAAATTCATTATGGTTGGCAGATATATTTTATATATGCCATTTAAACCTTTGTTTCACACTTTAGGATATCTAAAGCTTAAACAAGACACTTTATATCAGAGACTCTGCAACAAACAACACATCAGTTAGTCGAAAATGTGTCAAATAAATTAGTTAAATTGAATTCCATCTCATGTGATTAGGACCAAGAAACTGCAGTCCAAATAGTTCATAATTAGCAGATGTATCTCTTTATGACTGCTTGTTTCATATCGACTGACATTTTGTTGATTGAACTTTTTTGAAGGTTTCATCATAGTCAGCAACTGCAACATTATGAGTAGCTATTGAACTCATCGATTGGCATGTAAATTGCTAATGAGAGATTAGAAGCAACTCAAGATCTGATATCAAATTAGATTAAATAAGAATGTCATTAATGCAAACAAAGCCAATTTTGTCCTTGATAAACATATTTTGATTTCTTTTCAGATTGATTAATGATTGTACTTGTTATAAATTTCATTGTCTTAAATCTAAAACAGAAACTTTTAGAAATAACCGTAACCAGTTATAACATTTTCTTTTTAATTTCAAACCAGTTTAACAATTTTTATAATTTAGAAAAATGAAGTCTGTATATTTTTTTCTTTATTTCTAATTTTTGAGTAGTCGAACAGTTTTCCTTGGTCCCTTAGAGGTTCGAGCTAACGGGAATTTTGTGTATATCTTTGGCGTAATGAGGCTTTGACGTTAACTTTATCTTTTTTTTTTTCAACTTTTAGTTCCTTTAAAGTCACACGATAGGGAGGGGGTGATAGGGGTTAGAGATTTTCAGGCAATTTGTCACAGAGGGAAGGGGTATTCAGTCTTGTGACGCAACATTTTTTCTTTAGAGTTTCAAATCTAGGAAATTTTTTTATTTATTAAAAAGTGCCTAGCCTAAAACACTCAACTGTGGCGTTTCCAATTCAACTTTTATTGGAATTGACTTTTTTTTTTACTTTTCTTTTTTCGATTTGACTTTTTATAAAAAAATTTTATACTTAGTAATATAAATTTTACATTAGTTATATAAACTTTTTTCATCTTTTTGATGGCATTAGATCTGATATTTGATGAAAGAGTAGGATAGAAGCTATTTTCTATTCTTGTATAATAAATACGACTTAAAACCTAAGTCTTAAAAAGCTCATACGTGGAATTGAATTAGCACAGGAAATTTCTGCAGTTTCCAAAATATCGCGATAATTGGAGTCTGTAAAAGTTGGTTCAGGGACACAGTTTCTACATGGTGACAATTGTTTTTTGCCAATGTTTGAATCTTAAATTTCTAAAAATTGAGGACCTATACTTTCTTGTCCATTAAATATCATGCTCGGGCCACTGATGTAAAACTATTACTTAAAACATCGCCTAAATCTCCGCCTATTTATTAATTATTTAAGTTCATATTATATAAGATAGTTAAAGCCGCTTTTTTAAATGTATTTAGTTAACTTATAAATAAATAAAGCTGTACCAACCGGTCGGTAGTGTTAAGCGTAGCGTCTTATTGTTTTCTAGACAAAAGTTGTTTCATCTATTATGTCACTGGATGTAAACCTCACTGCTATAACTGGCTTAAAAGGAAAAGCTGATCGTTTTTGCAGATTTTTTTTCAGAGGTTCAAGTTTTTAAAATTATTTTATAGGTAAATTTTATGACTACGATAACTGTCATCAGGAGTAAGTAGATGAGACATAGACAATACAAACCACGAGAGAGTCATTAAATCAAATTAAAATTTTAATTTCAAACTTTTATTTAAAGTACTTATAGATTCCTTATTTTTATAAAACTTTAGGTGTACCTGCAACATCTAATGTTTTACAAAATTGCCACGGGGATGCTCTTTTCAATGAGGTATATTTACAATATATCTAGTAGTGATGAAATTATACACAATAAATTTGTTTTTAGGGTTTTTTATAAACGATTTAGTTTATAAAGTCTATTTAGACTCGGAGCTATTACCCTTAATTACAACTAAAGTACAATCAAAAACAACTGTTTGTTTGTTTTTAGTTTTTATTAGTCAAAAAATGCATATTTGGCTAATAAAAGTTGATCAACATTTTTCTTTTTGTTTAGGACAATTCCTAAAAATTTTAGTATTAATTAGCTTTTGCATAGGACATAAATTGACATTGTTTCCTAATTTAAAAGGAGGGAATTGGTCACATAGGCAATGAGCCATAGATATTCATTTATAAATAAATTATCAACAAAAAAAATTAAATAATAATAATATCAAACTAGTAAAATAAGACAAATTTTTCAGACCTGTAATCCACCATCACAAGTTTTCAATCAAATAGATTACTATGTAATTTTATTACTATTTTTAAGTTTGTTTTTGAGATGTTATTTCAAAATCATTTATTTCATGAAATTTTTGCTTTGCAACCATCATATATTGATGTGTTTTTGTTTGTTAATTTTGTTTTATCGGTCATTAAACTACTATACTTGTGATTAAAATGTTTATCACACTAAATAAGCGCTATTACCCTGGTAGCACTAAAGCTCAAAATACTTTCTCAATCTTTAGATGGCTAACCTTGTGACTTTGTTTCTAGATAACAGTAATTGCTTACTTTTTTTCTTTAGTTTGTGTCTACCCCATTATTTTCTCCTTATGCAACTGTTTTTTGTAATTGTAACTTTTTTAACCATCTTTTTCACAGGAACAAGCTTTTTGATAACAAAAGTTTTTATTTACATTGCAAGAAATTGATGCTAAAAGTATTGTCTGATGCTGAGGTGTATAACATTCCTGTTGCAGTCAAACAATTACAACGTTTCTATCACAACATTAAAAATGTGTTCTTCAGAACTCTAAATTTTCACAGAACTAAAACATAGAACAGAACTAAATTTTCAAGTTACACAAGTTTCCATTTTTGGTAATGAATGTAATCAGGTCAAGCTTGGTCATTTTTGTGGTTTTAATTTAAGGAGTTAACTAATATTTTAGAAGTAGATGTATTGGGTGTATTGATACCATTTTATGATAAAAGTGAAGTTAAATGAAGGTTAAAAGTGAAGTTAAATTTCTTTGTTTTTTGATCTTTGAGTGATTTAATCTTTAAAATTTTTCAGTTAAAATTCAAAAAAATCAGTTTTAAAAAATATAATATGTTTTTTATAGTTTTCTATTTTTTTTTTTTATCTGCCAAAGAAAATTTGTTTTTTCTCTTTTTGTTTGCACAACAATTAAGGCCCTCAGAAGACTCTGCATAGGGCCCCATTTAATGTGATCTCACTTTTGTTACAGCTTGTGGCTTGCAGTGTTGAAATTTCTCAGTGTTAAAAACTCCAAATAAAACTAAATTTTTTACTGCTAAAAAATCTATAAAATATTGTTAATATTTTCATATTGATGAATGAAGTTCTCTACTTTTATGTCTTACTTTATGTGGTAGCTCTCAGAGAGGCTGATTCCATCAACAGCTGAAAAATATCAGAGTACTAACAGTGCCATGTTGTGCATGGATGGTGTCCCTGTTTATACTTTTAGTGTGCATTGTCAAAGCCACATTTGGAGCCCTTTGTAACAGCTTAGGGTTTATTAATAGTAGTAAGGCAATTGCTTGAACTATCAAATAGTTTACTGAGTTCCATCTATGCTTTGAGTCAAGTTCTTTAACAAATTTATAAATGACTAAAGTAACAAAAACTATAAAATACAAAAAACCATCATCACCAAGTTCTCTAATTCACTAATATTCGTGGTCTTCAAAGTAACTTTTCTTCTGTTAAGTTTTATCTCTTGCAAAGTTCATCAGACCTACCTGCTCTTTGTGGGACTAATTTGAGTTCAGCTGTCTCATCTTGTGATCTTGGTGTTGATGGTTATCTTCCTTTAATTCATAGAGACTCCAATAGTCATATGCTTGGCCTGGGCATTTACATTCATAAGAATTTACCCATTTGTTGGGAAACTAGTTTTGAATCCACAGACAATTCTTTTATGTGCTTTCGTTTAGCACCACTTCACTCTATCGCCTTTCTATTTGTTCTATATCGCTCTCCTTCATCTTAAGACTGCACTCTTTTTGATGTTATTTCTGATCAAATTGACCAAGCCCTCTCTCATCATCCATCAGCATTGTTGTTGGTGACTTTAATGCTCATCACACCAAATGGCTTAGCTCTAGTGTCAGTGACTCTGCAGGCCCTAACTCAATCATCAACTTTCAAACTCGCTTTCCAGACAACCCGAATATTTAGCTTCTCTACCTGACTTATGTCTTGTTTCTGTTCCTAGTCAGTACTTAGTTTCTCCACATTTACCCTTAGGTGCTTCTGATCATGGCATTTATCTAAAACATCTCATTCTTCTTCATTATCTGAATCCCCTTATCATCATACCTCTTACAACTACCTTAAAGCTGACTCGGACTCTTTCTGTGATTTTCTTCGTGATGGCCCTTGGGTAGAAATCTTTCGTCTTCCTGCTGACAAATGTGGGTTTCACAAAACTTTGTAGATTCAAGCTGGCATGGAATCTTTTATTCCCTCTCGACAATTCCAGGTCAGGCCTCACTCTTCTCTGTGGTTTTCCTCACATAGTGCTTCTGTAATTTCCAATCAAAACCGTTATTTCCATATCTATCAGCAAAACAATTCTCCAGAAAACAGACATCTGCTTATTACTGCTAGAAACTATCGTAAAAATTTTTTGTCTATCGCCAAAGCACACTATTCCCAGGTCATAAAATCTCATATTTCATCATAAAAGTCAGGCTCTCCTGACTTCTGGAGAATCTTTAATAGTATCAATGATAAGGGCAAATCTGTTATTCCACCTCTCTTGTATGGTTCAGAATTTGTCACCTCACATAAAGACAAAGCTGAATTGTTTGGCAAGAACTTTTCATCAATATTATCTCTTGATTCCACTAGTTGCGCTCTACCTGATTTAGCCGTCAAACAAGTTGATCCATCGCTTGACATTTGTATTACTCCAGCTTCTGTATCTAAGATTTTCTGCTTAGACTCTTCTACAACTTGTGGTCCGGACAACATACCTGTTATAGTCTTGCAGAAGTGTTCTTCGGAGCTGTCATCTATACTTTCAAAACCATTTAACTAATGCTTCTCAAATTCTTGTTTTCCAGCCTGCTGGAAAAACGGCATCTGTTATTCCTATTTTCAAAAATTCTGGAGAGTGATGTGATTCCTCTAACTACTGTCCCATGAGTCTTCTTCCTATCATATACAAGGTTTTTGAATCTTTAATTAATAAACACTTATTCTTTCATCTTGAATCTAATAACTTTCTTTTTGATCATCAATATGGATTTTAATCTTCTTGTTCTACAGCTGATTTGCTAACAGTATTGACCGATAGGTTTTATTGTGTATTAGATAAAGGTGGAGAGGTTAAGGCCATGGCTCTTGACATTTCTAAAGCTTTTGATAAAGTTTGGCATGCTGGTCTTCCCCATAAGCTTTCTTCTTACGGTGTATCTGGTAACCTCTAAGATTATTGAGTTCTTCCTTTCCAATCGTAGTATAAAAGTTATCCTAGACCGACAACACTCTTCATATCCTGTAATTTCAGGGGTTCCTTATGGTTCTTTTTAATTTACATTAACGATCTTCCAGATATTCTCACAACTAAGGTGTATTGTTCGCTGATGATACTACTATTTATTTTTGTCTTGATAAGAAGCCAACACTCTCTGATTGCTTGGAGGGGGCATTTGAGTTTGAAAAGGATCTCACTTCTGCTACAGCATGGGACTCACAGTGGCTGGTGAACTTTCAGATTTCAGATGAAACTCAATTTTTTTCAGCTAATCATTATTGCAATAATTTAGATCATGTTATATTTATGAATGGTAATGTACTCAATGAGTTATCTACCCTTTATCTTCTAGGTATTACTTACTTCCAATCTTTCTTGGAAACTCTTACTTCTAATCTTTCTTGGAAACCATATATCAAATCCGTTACAAAAAGTTGCATCTCTTTATTGAGCTCGACACTTTCTTACTCATGATTTTATTCTTTATCTCTATAAATTTCAACTCCGGTCTTGTATGGAATACTGTTACCATATCTGGGGTGGATCTTCTAATAATGCCCTTTCTCTTTTAGACAAGGTGCAAAGACGCATTGTAAACATAATTGGACCTGCTCTAACAGCTAACCTTCAACCATTATCATGTCGCCGTAATGTTGCTTCTCTTTTTTTTTTCTACAAATACTATAATTGACACTGCTAGCATCTCTTGTACCATCTTCTAAAATTCATTTTCATGTTTCACTTGTCATTCAATTAGGTCTCATTCTTTTTCTTTGACTGTTCCTATATACTCCTAAAACTCTTATTCCTCTATTTTTTTCCTCAAATATCAGTTCTATGGACTTCGCTTTCTTCATCTTGCTTTCCTGATTCATATAATTTGTAATATTTTAAGTCATCTGTCAATTGTTATCTTGCTCTACAATCTTCTTTTTTTTCTTCCAGTAACTTCCCATTCTAATTAGCAGTTGCTTGCAGCCTTATTGGGAGCAAACATTTTAAAAAAAGAAAAATATTGTGAAAACACTTTTATGATGAATTATTTTATTTAGTATTTAAATAAAATGTTTCAGGAAAAAAGAGTTAAAAGATAAATGTTTCTTTTTCTTTTCTTTTTATCTTACAAGTTTTATCCAAAATTAAAATAATTTAAAAATAAATTAAAATAATTAAATAATTTAATAATTTAAAAATTATTAAAATAATTTAATTAAAAATAATTTCAAAAATGCATTTGGTAGCAGTGCTTAAATTTCATAAGATAATCTATGTGATTTTGGTGAACATTTTAACAAAGTTCAACAGAAATCTGAGACAATGGGTTACATGCTTGTTCCACTTTTTCATTAAATATCACTTTAGGCAAAATTGATTATTTTATTTAGGAATGAAATTTATTAAGTCCATTTTTCTTATCATTTAAAGAACATTACCAATAAAAAAGAACCTTTTTTTTGTGGTAATGTTCTTTTAATTAGGATAGAGACAATAGTTATTATTATTCTAAAAGCTTTATTTATTAATTTTTAATTTTGAAACTAATTAGTGCAAAAATTATATTAAAAATTGTAATAAAATAATATTAGTAATAATATTTTTTTAATAAATGTTTTAATTGATTTGTTTTTAATTATTTCTGAAAAATTTCTTTATATAATATATTTATTATAATAGATTTTTATTATAGATTTTTTATTAAAGGTCAAAAACTTAAAATTTTATTATTAAAATTATTTTTTAATTTTAAGGAGTTTTTTTGGCCATTGGAAACACCATTGGATAATGAGGAATGGTTGGAGCTACGTTTATACAATCGGAATAAAATATTTCAGGACAGGTATATACTTCAGATCAGTCTGTCTATTTTCAATGTTAATTTAAAGATTTTAAATTATATTTTATAGGCATTTTAAGGTAATATGTTTATTAGCTCCTTATAATAATTATTAGTTCATAAATAGTTATAGTTATACATATGTTCAGGTAATATAATATATAAAAATATAATATATAAAAATAGTTAGCTATTACTTATTAACCTTTAATATCAAAAAAATTTGTTTTTGATATTATAGGTTAATTTCTGACAATTATAGTTATACAAATTTCTGACAAATAAAATTATACAAATTTTCTGACAAATATAATTATACAAACTTTCTGACAAATATAATTATACAAATTTCTGACAAATATAATTATTAAAACTTTTACAAAATAATAAATCTTGCCAGTCATTTATCAGGGCCTCCAGGATCCATTAAAAATATAAAACTCTTGTTTCCTTTTTATTTCTCAATCGTATATAAATGTTAATTTTTATTTTTCAATCAAATATTAATAAACAGTAAAAGTGCAACACAAATATAATTATTATATGAATCCAATAATAGCATAACTAACTTTTCTTTTTTTAAAGTTAGTCACAGAAGAGTGGAGTCTTCCATATTCTTTGTCTATTTGTCTTTTAAATCTGTTCCATATTGATTTAAATTTAAAATAATTTGGTTCTCCGAAATGTTCAGAAATTTTTGATGAGCCACAATTGTGGTATTCAACAAAAGGTTGCATGTAACACAAGTGTATGAGTACTTTCTAACTTGTTGAAAGTTTTTTTATACAAGAATATCTGCAATTTCCCATAAAGATAAAATGAATTTTTTTAAATTGCCTTTTAATATGGCCTGTTGATACAAATGGTCAAGTGTTAATGAAATTATTCCTATCCAGATAAGCAATTTAGGAGAGGGTATTAAATGTTGGATTAGAGGATCTGGATCTTAATCAAGTAAGAGATTTTTGCATAAATTACATGCATAAAGTGTTCATAGTTTACTACAAACTTTGATTGAGTTATTTACTTTGTATCCCTTTAAACATAAGACAATTATTTATTTTTTTTCATGTCTTGAAATTCCAAAAACTACATTGGCACACTTCAAATCCAAAGTTACTGAAAGCAAATCCAAAGTTACTGAAAGCTCGTAAATTGAGTTTCTCCTAAAATCATTCTTAAATTCAAGTTTAATTCTTGCACATCTTCAACTACGGAAAAGACCTGACAGCGCTATTTAAGTATAAATCTAAAGTAGTATTTTTAATATCATTAATAAAAATATATACAATAACCTTTATGAAACCACCTGCTCTGCCCATAGAAATACAACTAAAAAGAAATGCAATTTGTGACCAAGATAACACTGGTTTATTAAAATCAAGAATAAAACTAAATTATTTTTAAGAATTACAAGTTTTTTTGTTGTTGTGACATCAATAATTTCAAGGAAGTGGAAAAACCTGGAAAATAGGTGTAATCTCATTTAATCTAGGTTTAGCATTAAAACTTTTAATACTGTAACTAGTTTTCAATACTAAAAGATATTTAAAAAAGGAATTTCTATATAAATAAAATAAAATTTCTATTTTTCTACTTGATAAAAGTGCGGTATGAACTCTTTTAAGTCACTAATTTTTCCAAAGATGTTGTTTTTTACTGCTTACTTGTTAACCATTCCTTTCCCAAGAGTTCAACAAGGTTCCCAAGGGATATCTGCATAGATGCCCAAGGGATATCTAATTCCCAATAGATATCTGATTCCCAAAGAATAACTGCAGCCCTATTTTATTTTATTTTTATTTTATTTTTATTTTATTTTATTCTGGAAAAGTTCTAGAACTACATGAAGTTTTTTAAGTTTTTTATTTTTCAAATTTAAAATTTAAAAACCCTATAAGTAAGCTAAATATACTTGTCAATAAAAAGGTTTTTTCAAATGACTGTGCATAAAACCTGGGGTTTCACTGGTCCACTGTGCATAGAAAACCTGGGTTAAATCACAATCAGTTAAATTATATAATAATAATTATTAAAAAATAAAAACTTTTGAAGTAGAATTAAAAAAAAAAAAATTTATTAACTGTGTGAAATTAAAAAAGGAAGATTTTAATTTATTTATCTTGATTGTCTCTTGTTTAATTTTAATTTCTAATGCTTTATTCACAATACAATTTTGGGGATGATTTTCTGAATTAAAAAGATTAAATCACATTTTTATTTACTTAGGTTAATAGGGGCTTATCGACTATCATTGTCCCAAATTATTGAAGGAGGTAGCACAGATGTTGTGGACAATCTTATAGACACCTCTCATACAATATTAAGGGTCTGGATTTTTTTTTTATCTTTTTTAAAAATTTTAATTGTATAATTCAAAAATTGTAAAATTTACAGTAATTTACAGTAATTGTAAAATTATTTTACAGTAATTGTAAAATTGTAAAATTTACAGTAATTGTAAAATTTACAGTAAAATTATTTTTGTTAATTGTTGACATCATTTATTAATTTTTAACAGATTGAAGTTCGAATGAGTGTTACCTACAGAAAACCTGAACCTGGGAAAAATTTATATGATCATGATTTAAGATCTGAAGAAAAATCAATTAAAAGTGTTGTGTCTGTTTCTTCAGCCAAGTCAAAAGAAATGAATGAGTCCCAAGAGTAGGTTTTTTCTTTTAATTTTAAAAAATAAATAAGAATAGATTTTAAAAAGTTAGTTTTTTATTTTTATTTTTATATAATTATATCCAACCCTCAGAATTAGGGTCGGCATTCGGCAATGCCGGCCTGAAAGTGTTTGAGGTCGGCAAAAAATTGCTGACCTTGTTTCTATGTTTTATGGTCAGACCTTTGTATCAAATAATTTTTGCCAACCTGATGCTGAATCAAAAAGATTAAGGTCGCAATGATTTGCCGACTTCATTTTTCCTAATTTCTGAGGGTTATATATCAATCAGTTATATAATTAAAAAACTGGTAATGGCATTTCTTATTGCAAATGCCAATAATGTTTTTTTTTTAAGTATTATAAAAATTTTTAACTTTTTTTTTTCTTAATTTATGCTCCACTTTTTTTTTGAAGTATTTTTTTGTTACATCTCTAAATATCGTCTTAATATCTCATAAATTTTTGTTACATCTCTAAATATTGTCTTAATATCTCATATTTTTTGTTACATTTCTAAATATCGTCTTAATATCTCATAAATCATTAAGACAGTAGAAGTCAGCCTGAAATCAATGCTCTTATCTTAGTACTAGAAAATCAATTTTAAAATCAACCCTTTTTGGTTCAATTTGTCATCAAATATGATTCTTTTTGATTTGTCAAATGATTTCTTGTTTGAAGATCTTGTAATAACAAATGCCATAGTCACTTTATTGTCCCACATGTTGAAAGCATAATTAAATGTTAAAAGTCTGTATGAATATGGTTCTGCTTGACTGTGCTGGATAGAAAACTAGCTTAATAAAAATCTTTGAGGAAATTTATGCGTTTTTCAACTCTATTCGAATTTAATAATATAATTAATACAATACATTAATTCAATAATAATACAATCTAATTTAAAAGAGCTTTATTACCTCAATTATTTACCTCAAATCATTTTTCAGTTCAATAAATCATTTGTCAGTTGTTTGTAGAACGTTTGAAAGTATAATAAAACAATCGATGAAATAAGGAACCATCAAAGTAATAACCAAGAATATTACTTAAGTAGATGTTCTCTACTTTGACTTAACTAAAGCCTTTGATAAGGCTTTAGTTAAGTCAAAGTAGGTTGTAGTTTTTGTACAAAGTTCAAAATTGGTGACCTACTGACCTCTCTTAGGTTTCCATTAAAGGTCAGTAGTTAATGATAATTCAAGAAAACATAAAATGGAGGGCATAATACCATTTATTAATACAGGAATATCAAAAATATGAAAAACTCAATTTATTTTTAAATTTAAATTAACTTTGATATTTTGTTTTCTCTTCAATTTGTAATGTCTATACATAAAAATTGCCTGTTTTTTTGGCTTTTCGAGTCCTTTATGTCTTTACACAACATTTGATTTTAAAATTTTATGTTTTATGCTTTCATTTCTATATTTCTTTTTTTTTTTAATTACATTTCTTATTTTGATATATATATATATATATATATATATATATATATATATATATATATATATATATATATATATATATATATATATATATATATATATATATATATATATATATATATATTAGGGCCAAAATTAAAACAATTTAAAAATTACACCTGACTGCATGATATTTTATTTCTGAACATAATAAAAGTATTATTCATAAAAAAAAAGTGTTCTGAGTACTGCCGAATTTGATATAAAGATTTGTGTTTTTATGCTAAAGCATCACCCCAAAAAATCGATTGTAAGGAGATTAAGAGAGGGGTATTTTAGATAAGTATTTTGCATCAACTCTAAATGTTTAAGATGCTTTTTAATCATCAAAAATATATTTTACTTTTAAAAATTAGCTTTTGAATTAAGCTAAATCAACTCAGCAGGCCAAAAAACAAAAGTTATGGAAAAGTTAGGGCAGGCCAAAAAAGAAATTTTAAAAATTGCAAGCCTGAAAAAAAACATGATCTTTTACACATAACAATACAAAAAATAAAAAATAAGAAAATAGAAAAAAACATTATTGAGTGCTGCTGAATTTTATTTGATATATATATATATATATTATATATATATATATATATATATATATATATATATATCCATATATATCCATATATATCCATATATATATATATATATATATATATATATATATATATATATATATATATATATATATCCACATATCTTGCTTCTCCATAAGCTTGCTTCATATGGTGTTTCTGGGAAAGTTTTTGAGATTACCAAATCATTTCTTTCTAACCGGTTTATTAGTCCATCCTTCAAGTCATCCTTGAAGGCCAACACTCTTCTTTATTTCCAGTAACTTCTGGGGTTCCCCAAGGTTCCATCCTGGGCCCTATTTTGTTTCTTATCTATATAAACGATCTTCCTGACAACCCTTCATCTAAAGTAGCTCTTTTTGCTGATGACTCAACTTTATACTCCTGTCTTGAGAAAAAGTCTTCTCTTTTTGATCGCCTAGAACAAGCAGCTGATCTTGAATCCGATCTCACTTCAGTAATAGATTGGGGTTCACAGTGGCTTGTGAATTTCAACTCTAAAAAAACCCAGTTGCTTACTGCAAACAACTACCGTAATATGGTCAACATTCCTATATTAATGAATGGCAATCCTCTTACTGAGTCCTCCTCTTTACGTCTTCTTGGATTATCGCTTACTACTGACCTTTCATGGAAACCATATATACAATCGATTGCTAAATTAGCTTCTGCTAAGGTTGCTTCTCTTTATCGTGCTCGCCATTTTCTTACTTCTGATTCCATTCTCTACCTCTACAAATCTCTTATTCGTCCCTGTATGGAATACTGTTGTCATATTTGGGCTGGTTCTTCTAACGATTCACTTTCTCTTCTTGACAAGGTCCAAAATCACATTGTAAATGTTGTTGGACCTGGACTATCTGCTAAGCTTGAACCTCTTTCCCATCGTCCTAAAGTTGCATCTCTTTCTCTTTTCTACAAATACTATCATGGTCACTGCTCAAAGAAGTTATTATCTCTAGTTCCATCAACTAAAATTCATTCTCGTTTTACTCGTCATTCAGCTAAGTCTCATTCGTTTACTGTATCTGTCCCTGCATGCTCTAAAAACTTTTATTCATCTAGTTTTTTTCCCCGCACTTCAATCCTTTGGAACTCTCTCCCATCTTCATGTTTTCCTGACTCATACAACCTTCAAATTTTCAAGTCTTCTGTCAACCGTTTCCTTGCTCTATAACTCTGTTCTTTTTTTTCCTAGTAACTCCCAACTTGATAGTGGTTGCTTGCAGCCTTGTTGGGAGTGAATGCAAATAAAAAAAAAAAAAAAAATGTTAAAAAAGACATGTTATTATAAATGATGAAGATAAAAAATTAATATATCATGCAAGAAAATCTTTGATTTTTAAAAATGATGAAGCCTGGATAAAGAAAAGAGGCAGACTATTTGATGTCTCAATAGGAGCATTTGATGGAGCTGAAGTTTGCGAACTAGTTGGTATTTTTATATTGTTTCAACTCTCTCAACATTACAATAAAAATAATTTTGGCTTGTTAAGCGACAAGGGGCTTGCTATTTTTGAAAAAAAAAGCGGCCAACAAATGTAAAAAATCAAAAACCTTTTTACGCATATTTTTAAAAGTAACAACCTACTTATCTCCATCCAATGTAATGTTAAAATTTTCAATTAACATTAAAAGTTAAGTAACATTAAACCTGATTAACAGTTCTTATCAACCTAATAAACAACTTATGTATGTTCATTCTGATTTAAACCATCCACCTAATATAATGAAAGAAATCCCTCACACTATTGAGTTAAGATTATTGACTATGGCAGTAAATGAAACTATGTTCAATAATTCCATTTTTCTGTATGAAAAGGCTTTATATAAATCAGGATACAATTCAAAACTCACCTACCAACCACAAATAAACAAAAATCAAAAAAGACATCGCAAATGTAAAGTTATATAGTACAACCCCCCATTTAGCAAAAATGTTGAAACTAAAGTTGGAATTCGCTTCTTAGCTTTATTTGACCTACACTTTCCAGTAGGACACAGGCTTCATAAAATTTTTAATCGAAACTATATTAAAGTTAGCTATAGTTGCATGTCTTATGTCAAGTCTTTAATAAATGCACATAACAACAAAGTTTTACAACACGATAAAAATATAACATCAAAAAAGTGTAACTGCATAGACAAAAATATTTGTCCGTTAAATACCCGATGCCTTTCTTACAATATCGTATACCAAGACACTGTTAGTTCTGGAGATCCTGAATTCAAAAATAAAGTTTATTTCGGTATCAGCTAAACCACATTTAAATTAAGATATGCCAACCATCTTAAATCTTTCAATGCACCCAAATATAAAAATGACACTGAACTTTCCAAAGAAGTATGGAAGCTAAAATCGAAAAATGTAAAACCTGTGATTACATGGAAGATAATAGCACAACATAAGCCTTACAATCAAGCATCAAAAGTTTGTAATCTTTGTCTCTGCGAAAAATTTCATATACTATCATACGAAAGAGAAAATTTACTTAATAAAAGATATGAAATAGTATCAAAATGATACTATTTACCAACATTCAAAGAAATTTTTACTATCCTTATTCGACACCAGGGACTAAAACCCTAGACGTCTTTTTGTTTTGTTATACTTTTGTAACGTCAGAACTTGTTCCACCATAATTTTAATTTGTATTTTTTCAATGATTTTTAAGTGACAAAATACACAATGGCTGATGATTGCCAAAAGGCATGAAACTCAGAGTTCCATCAAATGTTGTTTTTATTCATTTTATATGTGTGTGTGTATATATATATATATATATATATATATATATATATATATATATATATATATATATATATATATATATATATATATATATATATATATATATATATATATATATATATATATATATATATATATATATATATATATATATATTAAAATACCCATATGAACTTTAAGGTTAGGTGTGTGGGGATTAAACTTGCTACTACTTACTAACAAATCAAGTGCTCTATATAGCTACCACTTTTAAGAAATCAATAAAATGAACATTTTAATTTTGTGGAATAGCAAACATCACATATTTGCTCAGAGAAAAAAAATTTATATATTTATTCAAATTGTTTTAGAATTTATCATCCTAAAATTCATCACCCAAAAGTAATTAACAATGTGATTTCTGAGTGGATTGTAAGTTATTATTACTATTTTTTTTTTTGAACAATTACTTTTATTTACAACTTTTAATTACTTTTACTATTTATTTATTACTATTAGTGACAAATTGTTTTATTTTGTTTACAAGTTATTCTTTACTTAATTTTTATGTAATTTCATAAAGTATTGGGGATCATTCTATAAAACTTTATGAATTGTGATGTATGTTTATAACTATTTTAAAGTTTGGTAAAATTATTATAGTTATGCAGTTTTTAAATAAGAGATGCAAGTTTCCATAATGTGACCATTCCTCTCTTAGATACAAATGTAAACTTAATAAATAAATAATAATAAACTCAAATGTAAACTGAGCCAGCTCGATTCTTGTAAACAGCCCTTTTAAGAATAAAAAAAAGCAACATCAACATTTAGGAAGGCAGGGGAAGATTTGTTCACCAAACGAGGATGGCAAGTTAGTTTTAGCGGCAAATTTCTATATGTTGTTATGTCCAATTCATATAAACAGCCCCTTAGTCATTTTAAGAATTGTTTATATGCCTTAAATCTTGGTGATATGATGATTTTAATTTAAGACAGCATTCCCACCAATCCAGTTTTTATATCTTAAATAACTTACATAATACATGCAACAACTTTATTGAATATTATTATATTTTATTTGAATATATTGAATATTATTTTATTGAATTTTATTATATTTAAATTGTTTAATTTTCAGCAATTATAAATAAAAGCTGTTATTCTGAAGAATAAAATAAGATAAAAAATTTCAAGTCTGACAAAATTTCTGATTTGTTCTGATCTTTTAGGTTTTCTGTGAATTAGAAATGCTAATTATTGTGAATCTTATTGAAACTTCTAAAATGATGTTGTAGATTAAATACTTATTACAAAAAATCAAAATATTCAATTAGAAGTGATCTACTTGGGAAACTTACATTGTTATTTTGACACTATATTTAAGCTATGTTACATCACGTACATTACCGTGCAATTATTAAAGAAGATTTCCATTGAAATCAACTCATATCTCAGCTGATAATTTACAGAAAATCAGTTTATTGCTTGTAGCAGATGAAAAAGTAGTCAGAACCATATTAGATCATTGTTAAGTTCAGTAAAACCATGTATGGCTATTGCGCATTATATATAGCTAAAGAGGGTTGGAATTTTCCTGTTTATCCTAAATACGAGGTAATTTTAGTCAATTTGCAGGTCAGATCAAAACTTATTGGTCTAATTTAGGTGTGCAGTTCCGAGAGCCTGGAGAAGCTCTTTTTCTTTTTTCTTCAACAAGTGTTCTTGAAAATACGATTATTGTTATTTAAACAGCCAGTAGTTTCAATGGTGTTATTTCAATGGTGTCGTTTCATTAGTTTCAATGGTGTCGTTTATTTAAATTGCCTTATAATATAATTATTTATTTTATATTTAAAAAAATATTTATTAACAATTGTTAGAAGTCATTATTTATTAGTAGAATATATGGTTGAGTATCTTATTTTTTAAGTTACGAAACAAAAGCATTGCATTTGAAATTCCATTACTTTAAAGTTTATACAAATAATTTT